TTCATAAAAAAAAAAAAAAACAGTTTCATGTAAAAAGATATGATATTTTGTTTAACTCATAGATTTTGTGGTTTATTGGATTAGATCGTTGGAAGTATTGGAGCTGTTGCAGCTGGACTTGATCTTGGTAAAGAAGGCCCTTTGGTTCACATTGGAAGTTGCATAGCTTCTTTGCTTGGTCAAGGTGGTCCAGATAACCATAGAATCAAATGGAGATGGCTTCGTTACTTTAACAACGATAGAGATCGAAGAGATCTTATTACATGTGGATCTGCCTCTGGAGTATGTGCAGCTTTCAGATCACCAGTAGGAGGAGTGCTTTTCGCTCTTGAGGAAGTCGCTACATGGTGGAGAAGTGCTCTCTTGTGGAGGACTTTCTTCAGTACAGCTGTTGTTGTGGTTGTATTGAGAGCGTTCATTGAGATTTGCAATTCGGGGAAATGTGGACTTTTCGGTAAAGGAGGACTCATAATGTTTGATGTGAGTCATGTAGAAGTTAGGTACCACGCGGTGGATATAATCCCGGTCACATTGATTGGAGTCTTTGGTGGCATTCTTGGAAGCTTGTACAATCACTTTCTTCATAAAGTTCTCAGGCTTTACAATCTAATCAACCAGTAAGTGCGCGCTTACGAGTACTAAAGAAAGAAGACAAAAGAATTTCACTTTTAGTTAACATTTTGTTTGATCATATTTTCTTGTGTAGGAAGGGTAAGATTCACAAGGTGCTTCTAAGTCTTTCGGTATCTCTATTCACATCGGTTTGCTTGTACGGTCTTCCTTTCTTAGCGGAATGCAAGCCTTGTAATCCTTCGATAGGCGAGACATGTCCAACAAATGGAAGATCAGGAAACTTCAAACAATTCAACTGTCCAAATGGTTATTACAACGATCTAGCGACTCTGTTTCTCACAACAAATGATGATGCGGTTAGAAACGTTTTCTCTTCAAACACTCCTAATGAGTTTAGTATGGTATCTCTATGGATATTCTTTGGCCTCTACTGCATTTTGGGGCTTATCACATTCGGTATAGCGACACCGTCTGGTCTCTTCTTACCGATCATCCTCATGGGTTCTGCTTACGGTCGGATGCTAGGCCAAGCAATGGGATCTTACACAAAGATTGATCAAGGGCTTTACGCGGTTCTTGGTGCAGCTTCACTCATGGCTGGTTCAATGAGAATGACTGTTTCACTTTGTGTTATATTCCTCGAACTCACCAACAACCTTCTTTTGTTACCCATTACAATGTTTGTGCTTCTGATTGCTAAAACAGTTGGAGACAGCTTCAATCTAAGTATCTACGAAATCATTCTTCACTTAAAGGGCTTACCTTTCTTGGAAGCAAATCCAGAGCCATGGATGAGGAATCTCACTGTAGGTGAGCTTGGTGATGCTAAGCCACCAGTTGTAACCCTCCAAGGGGTAGAAAAAGTCGCGAATATAGTCGATGTACTAAGGAACACAACGCATAACGCCTTCCCGGTATTAGATGGAGAAGATTCAGTCACAGGTGCTGCTACAGAGCTTCATGGATTGATCTTAAGAGCACATCTTGTTAAAGTTTTGAAAAAGAGATGGTTCTTGAATGAGAAAAGAAGAACAGAAGAATGGGAAGTTAGAGAAAAGTTTACACCGGTCGAATTAGCAGAGAGAGAAGACAATTTCGATGAGGTTGCAATCACAAGCTCAGAGATGCAATTGTATGTTGATCTTCATCCTTTGACCAACACTACACCTTACACAGTGGTGCAGAGTATGTCAGTGGCCAAGGCTTTGGTGCTTTTCCGATCGGTCGGTCTTAGACATTTGTTGGTTGTTCCAAAGATTCAAGCTTCAGGAGTAAGTAATTTGGTTCATTTTTCTTTACTATCTTGAATGTAACAATATTTCAAGAACACTAACTAAGCTTGTATTATTATGTCTCTTTGTGTTTTTGCAGATGAGTCCTGTGATAGGGATCTTAACAAGGCAAGATCTAAGAGCTTATAACATTCTACAAGCATTTCCTCATTTGGATAAACACAAAAGTGAAAAACTTCGATGAATGAAGCTATGAGCAAAAGCAAAAAAAGTTTTACTATTGCTTGTGTGAGTGATTGAATCAGCTCTGGATTTGTGTTTCATTCTCCATTCTTACTGATATTTATTCTATCCAGTTTTGCTTGCATTCCTTTTTTTTTTTTCAAGACCAGAAAAATATATATACTATTTCATAGATTTGTCATTTGTGTTTTCTACTTGTAAATCTCTATTTTTTGCAACATTATCATTTTCCCAAGAAGGAAGAAAATAAGAATAAAAGCAATTTGAATACAAGAACAAAACTTGAAAGCTTAACTGTGAAGCTTCTATGGAGTATACAACTTTTAAGAATCAATAACTATATTGAAATTTTGCACTTAACTCATTTGAACCACGAATGTGTATATACATCTTAAATCAAAATTCTTTTGCGACCAAGAAACAGAAGACTTTGGTCGAAAGTTGCAAGAAAATAGCTAAACTTTGGTAGCAGCTAAGCTCCATACACGCAGCTTCCCACTCTTGTCTCCACTGAATAACAATCCTTCAGGGCCAATTGTGATTGTGCCGATTGTGTTCGTTGAGAACATCTTTCCTCTTTCTTCAAATCTGTACGTATAACACAAAACAGAATTAATGAACAATTCCTTATGATTAAAAGTACAATATAAAGTAGAAAGGTTCTCGGATTAAAAGCTTCACTTACGATGGTAGATCGACGATGCTGACTGTTCCGTTTAGGTAAGAGCAGAACATGATCGGTTTGGCCTCTGCGTCGTGCATCCCACAAAGAGCATGTACACTCTGGTTCAAATCAGAAAACAAACGAAAAATGCTTTTTGTTAAATCCAAGTTGTGTTTGTTGTTATGAGGAGAATAGGGCTAAAGTGTAAACAAAAACTTTACCTGTTCCTGTCTGCGAGAATTAGTAACTTTCAAGCTGCCATTTTCAGAACAAGCCCAAACTCTTACCGTTCCATCCAAGGAGGACGATATCAGAAACTGATCCCAACATAAGAGCGAGGTGACAGTGTCCGTGTGTTGCCTCAGGGTCATTGTACATTGCAGGGTATTGAGATCCCACACCTGCGAATTACAACAAACAGAGTTGATTAAAAGACACTCTATAATGTTCTCGGGTTTTACTTGTTTAAAGATGGAATCAAATTAAGTAGCAGAAACCACTTCTTACCTTTATTGTTTTATCGACAGAACCAGAGTATAGTCGCTGACCACCAACGATAAAACATGTGACCTGACCACTATGATGTCCCTCGAGAGATGTGAGGTACGTGAAAGGCTCAGACTCGGTATCAGTAGCTTTCCAGACTGATATACTACCAGACTGCAATCGAAAAAAAAACCCAAAAAGAACTTACTTTAGTTCCGAAAACAATAACAAGTAAGCAGAGAACTAAATACAAGTAGAGATCTGAGTTATAATGCTTACACTTGTTCCAGCAAAAAGCATTCCATTTGCAATGGTCATAGCATGCACCTGACCAACCACCCCACTAAGATGCAAATCTTTACTGGTTTGAACATTAAACGCCTACAAGATTGTATAAACAAAAACGTTGAGACCAGAAACCAATACAACAATCCCCAGTTAGTTTAGCAGATAACAGAGAATGTAAGTAAAGAGAGGCCTTAAACTAACCTTTACCGCATTTGGCAAGCCAAGGAAAACCCAAGGGCCTTCGCTCATTAGAGACCCTGCTTCTGCATGGAGGTTGATTGTATGAACACATTGACCAGTATTGCAGTCCCATATGCACAATGTACCATCAATACTTGCTGAAAATAGTTTATCTGAACCCTGAGGAAGCGCAATCCCGTTTATATCCTGTAGGCAAAACATTATGTTTCCAATTAGTCAATAGTAAAGAGTAAAACAGAAATGGATTACAATAGACTACCGGAAACGTACCTTCTTGTGACCTTCAAGAGAAGCTACCATGGCCAATCCAGGGAAGCAAGACCAAGAGTGTAAAAACTGGCACTGCTCGCCCTTCTTGCAGTTTCCAGCCTTCCAAAACTTACACACACACTCCTTAGTCTTGTTGGGACTGACTTTACCACTAGACCCCCAACCTCTGGTCTCTGAAACAGATGAGCTTCTTGGCCCATACGCAGCATTCTTCCTCGGCTGGTTCGACACATTATATCCCGTGCCTATAACTGGTGGTTTAATCGTTGCTGAGCCATTGGTGTTATTCATCCTAGGCCTGTTGCCTTCTGATGCTTGGAACTCTTTCGATGTCCAAACCAGATTCCTTGACCACTTATTTGATCCTTTCTTCATTCTGTTGTCATAAGGAGCATAGGGTCTTCTCGGAACTATATCTGCTGCAAAATCTTGTTGTCTATCGACTCCGAAATTCCTTCCTTGTGAGTACCTCCTTGGCGCGTTATGATTCATCACTCTATAAAACATTGAGAAGACACCAACTTTAGAAGACTGAAACACAGAGTCGTGCATTGTTGCTTCATCCATGATGATCCAATACAGAAATTTTCAGAAGCAGAACAAATCCAGAAGTACAGAGTTTACGAAATTCCCCCAATTTCGCTAGAAGAGAATCCAAAGCTCCAATTCTCTCAATACCCCCCAAACTTCACTTTGAAAATCCAAGTATCGTACAACACAAATTCCACAGAAAAAAAAAACCATATAAATCTAATTAAAACCTAATCGAACGATTCCTTCCAATTCCAGATCGATCTTCAGAGTTTCAAAAAAAAATCTACATGATTCGATGAATTCGTAACCCTAATTACAACAACAAATAAAACCCAAGAAGAGAGAGACTCGAAACCATCAATCCTTATCGGTGGAAAACCCTAGCTTCCTGGGTAATCGATGCGAATAGGAAGACGAAGATCGAGAAGAAGCAGAAACCGTAACCGAAAGCACGAAGACATCAACATAGTCGCGGAGATGCGTAGACGAAGTAGAAGCAAACCTGAGAGATCAAACGTACGTAGGATCTTAGATCTTCGATTCGGGCTCTAACTCCAGAGGGGAAGAAAAAAAGGAAATTTTGATGCGGAGGAAGAAGAATGAGTTTAACTCTTTGCCTTCGTCGAGGAATGATGTATTTATAGATGCTGATAATCGTGGAGGTTACGCTACATTCGTGGCTTAATTTTAATATTGGGCTTAGCTTAGGCCCATCATTACGTGGGTTACAAATTTTTTTTTTTTTTTAAGAAAATTTATGAAAATGTTATAAATTAAGAAAATATATCAAATTCTAAATCATGTATCATACGAACTATCAAAATTAGTTCAAATCTAAATCGTTAACTCTAAGATGTAAGGAAAATGATAAAATATTTTTGCTAGTTTTGAAAATTTTAGAAATTTTTTAGATTAAGAATATATTTTGGAGTTTTTCCTCGATTATCCAAAAAAAAATAATCATGTCTTGCGTTTCATAGCAAAAACATTGGCAACCAGCATTCCAGTTTACCCTTTTATTTCGATTTGAGTTTTTTTTTCTTTTTTTCCTGTTTTTGGTGCATCTATTTTACAACAAAAAAAAATATATCAAAATCAAATGTAATTCGGATCAAGCAGTTATAAAACATTTTTTATAATTCAGAAAATTAGAATTGAACAACAAAAATTATAGTAAGCAAAGAGAGCTTCGTAAAAACGAAAGAGAACTATAGGCTCTTAAAGAACAAAGACATACCAACAACTCCCTCCCTCTAGTGTTTAGTCATAGATTTAAACACGCACTAATGCGTCCAATTTTCCTCGAACCGGCGTGGTTTGGTAACTTACTATTTTTACTCGTCAGTGCCGAAGTAACGATCACCAAACTCGCCTAAGCCTGGTATAACACGGAACTCTTGGTTCAGACACTGGTCTATCTCAGACGTCACTATCTTCAATGCCGGAAAACGTTTGCAGACACAATGGATTCCCTCTGGTGCCTGTCAAAAGCCAAGGTTATGATTAGGGAGAGATAAACAGCGACAGAGAAAGAAAAAAA